AGGGAAACGAAGACGAACGGGGAATAATCCGCCGGCCCCCTTGTGGGGCCACCAGGCTGTAGGCCCGTGATTCGCAATTTCCTGTACCAGTCGTAGTTTGTAGTTTCCAGTGTTACAGTTCTGCTTCTTGCTGGTTACTGTAACTACTTGATTGACCGCGCGAGGGGGGGGGGGGGGGGGTGGGGGGGGGGGGGGGGGGGGGGGGGGGCAAAACCAGATTTTTAGCACCACCTGGGCGCGTTGTCTGAATTGCTGGGGGGGCTCGAAATCAACACCCCTCACGCAGATCCGCGGGGTCAGGGTCCAAAAACACAGGGGACGTGCCACATTTCTGAAATTCGGCGCCACCCCTCACGCAGATCCGCGGGGTCAGGGTCTAAAAACACAAGGGATTTGCCACATTTCTGAAATTCGGTGCCACCCCCCACGCAGATCCGCGGAGTCAGGGTCCAATAACATAGGGGATTTGCCACATTTCTGAAATACGGTGCCACCCTTCATGCAGATCCGCGGGGTTAGGGTCCAAAAAACACAGGGGATTTGCCACATTTCTGAAATTCCGTGCCACCCTTCACGCACATCCACCGCAAGGCGTGGTGACCCAAACTGCGAGAACTCCCTCGGCCCTTTAATCGCAAGGTGTGGTAACCAAGCCCGTAAACCATACACGTCTTACCAATCGCCAGGTGTGGTAACCCCTCTTGTGATCAGTTGGTTTTGCTGCTTGCGAATCGGCTTCGTATGAAGTTTCGATACTGCTTCACGACAGCGCCAAGGCCTCATGACTTAGCTCTTCCATGGCCCATTCTCCGAGAGAGGGGGCCGGCGGCAGGGGGCGAAGCCCTTATGGATAAGGGAGATGGAAAGGGGCGCTCCCCCGCCCGAGCCGCGGACGCGTTCGACACCATCCAGGGGGGGAGGTAAGATAGGGGACGGAGCAAGGCCGAGGACGACGACGGGAAGCAAACTGTTTTAGTCCGCATATAGCCATATGCTTGCGATTCGGGTGCGCGCGCTTTCTTCGAGGCACTTCAAGCCCGACCCATACTGAATTCACGAATCCCTCCAAACTGCGTACACACTCTGTCCTCTGGACCCCCTCCTATGAAACTGCCTCAGAACAGAGGGGCAAGGGATTCCAACTTTCTTTCCTCCTCCCCCCCCTCGTCATCCTCCTCGCCCTCCTCCTCCTCGTCCTCGTCTTTTGGAAACGCCCAAGGGTCATACTCTAGAGGCCTGCGCGGAGGCGCGGAGCAGGGGGCGATGGGAAAAACAAAAGAGACAGTTTGCGCATATGACATTGGCCTTCGCAAACACACGCTCGAACAAAACAACAACTCTTTCTCGCAATGCTCGGTCGCGCCAGCATTGCCGCAACGACGCGGCGTCCGCGAAGCCATGGCGCCGCGGCCACGGCGCAACCAACGCCTAGTTTTGTCGAGCGCCGCGAAGCGCAACCCGATGATGTTGTTCAATTTGCCCCCGCCCCATATGGCGCCAAGAAGCCGCCGCCAAAACTAAACGGGCAGGCTGGGCACGCGGCCGCCCGCCAAAAAAACTAAAGGATATGCGCGTGACTAGCTCCGGCGGCAAACATCGCAACGAGGCTTAGCGGTTTGCGGGCACGTTTGGCATCACCGAAACAATGCTGATCACAGCGTGAGCGAAAAAACAAGGCGAGGCGGCTGATGACAGACCCCCATATCAGCAATGAGTCCCACCGAAATCCGGCACTACACCGCGCGTCGTCACCGCCCGCACCACAACGCTGTGGGTCCTGGAGGGGACGTATTATGCGTAGCACGAACGGGGTGGGGAAATCTGCCACGCGAGGAGGTGGGGCGACACGGACGGCGCACAGAAAGAACAACTCAATGATGGCGGGGCGACAGGCGAGGGCGGAAACAATCGACGCAAACATAACATCAAAAACACGGGGCGCGCGAAAAGGGAGGATGGACATTCAAGCGCGAGCGCAAACATCGCACGGCACAGGAACATTTCAGCGCGTGGCTCTTCGCATCGCGTGGTGCGCACACAGCGTTCGTCCCACCCCCGCTCCCGAAAAAAATTGGCAACCAGTGCGTTGTGGTCTTCGGGTTGTTTTTGATGGGCGTCTGCGCTGAGACAAATGAGAGTTTTGGATGTGCGAATGCACAATCAAATCGATTGGCCGACCTTTGACCAGGTCGTTCGGGGACAGATGCGTGCCCACCAGGGAAGGGGAGATGTTTCGCAGCAGGTGTCTGCGATATGGGAGGCACGGCGGACATGGTGAAACAGTTTGCACGCTCTGTGGCACGACTCGGGAACAACACCTTCAAAAAACATGCGTCCGCCAAGAGGCCGAACATCTGTTTCTCCGATGGCCATGGCGCCCGCGACGCGCATGCTCGACCTTTCGCCCGCGCGGCGACATTCAACCGCAACCCCCCTTAGAGACGCCCCAACTTGGACACACTGGCATTCGAATGCATTGAACAGCCCCTCGACGAGCACTGCCCAACGAAAATCCACTGGTGAAAACCCAATGTAGAATTCCATTCTCTGGCTACAACACGTGGCTATATCAATCAAGAACCTACAGGAACCAATACACAAACACGCTCTGCGAACGCACTCGCGCACGCGAGCGGGTGACCACGGCCACCCGCTCGTGGGCCCACGCGCGCGAAAACGATGCACGTAGTATGTGTTTTGTTCGCGCCAAGCGGTGGCAATGTTACATCGAATAACCAAATGATGAAACACCAACGCAAAAAAAAAAAAAAAAAAAAAAAAAAAAAAAAAAAAAAAAAAAAAAAAAAAAAAAAAAAAAAAAAAAAAAAAAAAACTCCCTGGCTGCAACAGGTGGTAATACCATCCATCACTGTGTAGAGGCCAATACACAAACACGATATGCGAGCACCCTCGCGCAGGCGAGCGGGTGACCACGGTCACCCGCTCGTGGGCGCACGCACGCGAAAACGATGCATGTTGTATACGGTTTACATGCCAACGTCGGCAATGTCACATCGAAAACCCAATGTTGAAAACCCAGTGTAAAATGTCAATCTCTGGCTGCAAGAAACGCCTAAAGCAATCAGGAATCTACAAGAACCAATACACAGACACGTTCTGCGAGCGCGCTCGCGCACGCGAGCGGGTGACCACGGTCACCCGCTCGCGGTCCCACGCGCGCGAAAAAGATGCATGTTGTATACGGTTTACATGCCAACGTCGGCAATGTCATATCGAAAACACAATGGTGAAAACCCTGTGTACAATTCCATTCTCTGGCTGCAACATGTGGCTACATCAATCGGGAATCTACAATAATCAACACACAGAAACGCTCTGCGAACGCAGTCGCACGCGAGCGGGTGACCACGGCCACCCGCTCGTGGGCCCACGGATGCGAAAACAATGCATTTAGTATGCGCTCTGCATGCACGCGTCGGCAATGTCACATCGAAACCCCAATGGACACTGCGACGGACACAACTAGACAAAGCTTCACAGCGGGATGCAGGATCCGTTCCAATACATCCGACTACAGCTGATTTCCCAATGCGCGGAGGTCTTCACCCCTTCTCTGGAGGTAGTTTTGCGCCCCAGATCCTTCTTCGAATGCCCGGCAAAGGGCCCCAGAGGACCAAAGACGCGGAAGCACGTTCGGGTGGTGCTAGAAGTGCCCCTGGCCCAAGGTGCCCCCAGTATTTCCAGGGAGGCTACCGCGGCCTCCAGAGAACCCCATCACGAGGCCTGGAGGCCCCAAGTGCTCCAAAATCAAGCGAAAAACTTGGGACACAACACCAGACACGCCCGGATTTTCAGTAAATCACATCGCAGGAACTCCAAGTTTCCCTCGGGAGACGTCTGCTGCCTCGCCATCGTTCGGACGTCCATTCTCCGTGCATGTTCCGGTTTGGTGCGTATAATTGTTCGCGAGATGCTCCAGGAATGTTCCACGATGTTGGCCGAAACACGCAATCAAACACACAACAACAACAACAACAACAACAACAACAACAACAACAATCACTTTACCCGAACGCTCAGTGTTCTCACCAGTGCCAGGGTTTTCATGCGACGCCAGCCAATACCCCCACTTTGTGGGGGGGCAGTGCAAGCTCTACCAAATATCCACACGACTCTTCGCCACCACCCACACCCAGCTTCCCGCCCTATGACGTTCGGACACTTCACTTCGTGGCATGCGGACGACCGTGGCTACTATTCAGGGCCCCGCGGCCGACGACGACGGCGTGCGCGCGCGAAGAAAAAACGAATGTGTCCCGCATGGTATTATTTGACAGGGATGATGGCCCTGGCAGGTGCGCAACCGTTGTCGCAGAAGTTCGAAAAAGTTGCTCGCAAAAGCCCGTTTGACAGAAATGTTTAAAAAGTGTTGGGTTTCCTACGAATCCGCAAGAGCGCGCGGGATGAGATTTTGACATTTTTTTGTTGAAAAACCATTGGTTTTTTGATGTTTTTATGTTAAAATCGCTCCGAACACTAAGCTTTTGGAAGGATTTCGTCTTGCGCGCGCGAATGTCCACTTTACCTTATTTTTTGCAAGGGATTCTTGAAATTTGATTATATTAGAACAAGAAATGTCATTTTATAGTGTTTTTTGCAAGGGAAAGCGGGGGGGAACAAAACAACCGGATCTTGATCACATCGAATTACCTGAGGCTTCCTCACGAAAATGATGAAAATGTAGCTGCGGCCTAGGCGGCGCAGGGGGGGCCGTGCACCAGGGGGCCCAACAATAATTATTCTTTAGAATAAATAATGTTCAACAACAACAACAACAACAACAACAACAACAACAACAACAACAACAACAACAACATCAACAACAACAACAACAACAACAACAACAACAACAACAACAACAACAACAACAACAACAACAACAACAACGAAAAGGAGCGCGTCCGAGCGATGCCGAGCTGCACGGCGGCCCCCTTGCCCGCCGAGGCCGCGGGCGACGGAGGGCGGCGGCGGCGCGGCGCCTCTGCGGGGCGCCCGCGACGAAGGCCGACCTCGCGGCGCGCTGTCGCCGCGCTCCCGCCGCCCGCCACCCCCGCCCAGGGAGGGCGGGAGCCTACGGAGCCCACAAGGGTCGTGCCAAGGAGGGGAGCTCAAGATGTTGTTGTTGTTGTTGTTGTTGCTTCTGCCTCGCGGAGGAAGAGGAGGAAGAGGAAAAGGAGGGTTGCTCAAGAAGGAAAAGAAGAAGGAGGAAGGAGGTGTTGTTGTTGTTGGAGGAGGAAGAGGAGGAGGAGGAGGAGGAGGAGGAGGAGGAGGAGGAGGGTTGCTCGAGAAGCTGGTGTTGTTGTTGCTGCTTCTGCCTCGCGGGGGCGGAAGGAAGCAAAACTACTGGGGTGTCTTCGTCGGGAGGATTGAAGGGAATGGAGCCCCGCTGGGGGGCTGCTACGCATGATTCGGCCGGATGAAGCGGGATCAAGCCGGATCAGGCCGGATATCGGCCGGATCCAACCGAATTTCGGACCAGGGCAGGGTCAGAGTTTGACCTCTCAGGAGTAAAAACGGTGCAAGACAAGAACCGTCGAGGACGCCAGCCCCCCGGGCGGCTGGAAAATCTGCACCCCCACGTGGCACCGTCGGGGTAGAAACTCTCCAGCCGCCCAGGGGGCAGGCGCCCCCAACGGCAGACATATCTATCTTGTACCGTTCTTCGCCCGCTAAACTTAGGTCGGGCCTGTCCCCCTACAGGAGGATCTGAATACCCCAAAAATACCCCCAAAAATTGTCAAAAAATAGTCCCCATACGATTTCAAAACTATGAATACCCCAAAAATACCCCCAAAAATTGTCAAAAAATAGTCCCCATACGATTTCAAAACTATTTTTGGATATTCCCCCTGTAGAGGGACAGGCCCGACTTAACGCTAAATAAAGCTCATACGCGCCCAACCACGTACATGAGCACGGCCCCCCTTGTCCGCGAGACCAGCTGCGTGATACGAAGGTTCCCGCAATGCGTAGTCTCGAAACCAGCGCGGATCCATTCATGTGTACGTCAGGGAGGGAGGGAGGGCTAGGACGAGACTGATGTAAAAAAACACGGATGGTTCAGGATACGCTCCCAGAGTTCCAGAATACATAGCCGCCTTCGTTTCTGTAGCCCGTGTCGGACATTAGGAAACCATGGAAATGATATCACCGTTTGCCTTTCTGTATGATTGTTTTGTCAATCCGCCGCCCCTGTCGGCGTGTGTGGGGGGTCTGTCTGGTCCCGTCGACGGGGAGCCTTCTTTTGTTCCCTCCTTCCCATCCTCCTCTCCCTTCGGGGAAGAGCAAGAGAGAGACAGAGCACCCGTCCTCGTTCGGAGAACGGGTTCGCAGCTTGACGGAATGCATTCCGTCAAAAGGAAGCCCCTTCCCTTTGTCCCTTCCCCGCCGGGGGGGGGGATGGTCCCGAGGGTGGGGGTCAGATTCGTGTCGCCTCTCGGGGCCCTCCTCTGCCACGCCGGTCCTTTTCCAGCCGGCGCGCCAGTCCTCCTCGGGTCCTCCTCCCCAGGTGGGGAGGAATCCCGGTGGGTGGAGGGGAGTCAGATACGCATCCGTGCCTTGGGGTCGGTCCTCGCCCCCAGGGGGAGCGGGCCCAGGCGGGAGTCCTTTTCCTCCTCCTTCTCCTTCTCCTCCTCCTCCTCGGCCTCCTCCCCCTCCTCCGCCTCCTCACCCTCCTCCTCCTCCTCCTCCTCCTCCTCCTCCTCCTCCGCCACCTCCGCCTCATGTTCCTCCTCCTCCTCCTCCTCCTCCTCCTTCTACTCCTCCTCCTCTCCTCCTCCTCCTCCTCCTCCTCCTCCTCCTCCTCCTCCTCCTCCTCCTCCTCCTCATCCTCATCATCATCATCACCTCCTCCTCCTCCTCCTCCTCCGCCGTTTCGTCATCCTCCCCCTCCTGGTCGTCGTCGATGTCTTTCAGTGTCGGCGGCACCAGCCGTCAGGCCTTCACCAAACAAATGTTCGCAGGAACTTGGTTTGGTCGCAGCGCTGCCAGACCCTCGGCGCGGTCGAAGCTGTAAAACTGTACCACGGCATGGCGAATCACGCCCAGGATTGGGTCCTACAGGCGAATATTGGACGAAATATTCAGAGACGATCACAAAATAATCGGCAAATCGCCCCCAGACTATGTTTTAACTATTTTAGAAGATCCCTCCTGTAGAGGGACAAGTCCGACTGAAGCCCAGGATGAACGAGGAAGGCGGATACCCCAGGGGCGGGCACTACACGCTTTCGCATGAGAGCCTCACCAAACACATGGATCATCGGCGTCCCTGGATGTATGTACAATGGATTGGCGGCGCGCGCAATGGGGTGGGGGTGGGAGGGATTTTTAGAAGCACCCTGCTTCTTAGAAGGCGCTGGCCTTGTATCTACAGATAAGGCCCGCGCCTTCTAAAAAGTAGGGGTGGTTCTAAGAAGTCCTCCCCCCCCCCACCCCTCTCTGCGCGAGGCTGGGTGGAGGCCAGTCCACCAAAAACCTTCCGCAAGGAACCCTGCCCTGAGACCCGAGAAAGTCCACTGATGTGTGGCCTGGGAAGGTCACGCTCACCATCGCATAACCACCGGAGCCCAAGAAACGCAGGGCACCCCGGAGGCAAGCAGGGCGCTTCTTGGCATGGGTTTACACTGTACTCGCCCCTGTCGTCGCCTCTGGCAAGAGCACAGCGAGGGGCGGCCGCTGGGGGAGGCAGAGGGGTGGGGGCGAAGGCCGCGCGCTCAGCCAGCTCGCGCAGACGTGCGTAGGCAGTGCCGACAGCCCCAGGCTCCCCAGGGATTCGTGCGAGGCTGGGGCCGACCGAGGCTGACCAGGATCAGGGGGGGAAAAAAAACAGTGGATCGTCGACTCACAAAAGAGGATGGGCGAATATGGGAAGCGGGGGGGGGAAGACGCAAACCCCGGAAACAAGGGAAAATACGGGGAGTCCTGGATTGTGGGTATATGTACTTATTTGTGTCCATGGGCCCCTTTGCAGGATGAGCACCAGTCGCCGCCGTCGCCTCAAACTGTACGCTGCGGCCGTGGCACCCGCGGCCCTGGGAATGCCAGCGTGGGTGCGTCCGCGTCGAGTGGGCCCAGCACGTCGCCGCACGCGCGGGCCCCGCCTGCGGCAGCTGGCAATGGCCTCGCCAACAGGGCGCCTACATTTACGCACATACGCAACAAATCCGAAACGCTGACATGTAAAATCCATAGTTGTGGGGGCTGGGGTCGGTTTCTCACTGTTCAGGCGAAATGCACCACCACCACCACCGCCGCTGGCGCGAGGAGCCCCAGGGGGGGGATCTCCCGGTGGTGTGGTCCGCCTGCCCCGCTCGAGACGTCTCCATCCTCCAGCTCGAGGACGGAGGCCTCCCAGTCGGGGTCGGATTACAGCCGGCCCGTATCATAAGGACGCACGATGAGGATGCAAGGGCTTTGGACGCACATTTCGAAGCTTTTCGAGCGTGGCGCGGCCAACGAAAATGGCCAAGGATGGCCGAGGAGGCAAGGATGCAAGGGTGCCCTGGGGATGGTTCTCCATCCTTACTATGCGGATTGACTGTAGATTGGGTCGGAGGATCTCGCCCCATGGTCCATGCATGCATCGGCAATGCATCGGCGACGTCAAGGATGCATCAGCGACGTCTGCGTGGAGAAGATCAGGCACCACATGACGCTGCATCGCCGATGCATCGGCGAGGCGGCGCGATCCTCCGACCACATCTGCTCTGACTCCACCTGGGAGGTCTAGATGGGAGGCAGCTTAGACCTCCTCGCTGGAGGTGCCCCCCCTGGTGGCAGTGGCGTTGCGTCTTCATCCTCCGAAAGGGAAGGGAAGGAGAGTCGAGGGCCGAGATTCCGGGGAGATTGAACCAAAAAACTCTACCTCGGCCTTCCGGGAGGGGACAGGTCTGGGCCCCAGAGCCGCCAAAGATCGGTCTAGGTGGAGCACTGGCCGGGATGGACGCTGGGAGGGCGCCCAGGGGGCGATTTTGAGCGAAAGTGCAAGGGCAGGAGGAAGAATAGGAAGAGCGAGAAGAGGAAGAGGAGGAGGAGGAGGAGGAGGAGGAGGAGGAGGAGGAGGAGGAGAGAGGAGGAGGAGGAGGAGGATGTGGTGGGAGAGGGGGAGAGGAGGAGGAATATTAGGAGGAATGCTGAGGAGAGGAGGAGCTGAAGGTCATTCGGAGGCATGACAACAGTAAAGGAGGAGAAAGAGGACTTGGAGCAGCAGCGGGAGGGTGATCCTCCCCCTCCTCCTCCTCCTCCTCCTCCTCCTCCTCCTCCTCCTCATCCTCCTCCTCCTCCTCTTCCTCTTCCTCCGTTTCGTTTTCCTCCTCCTTTTCCTCCGTCGCCTCCTCCTCCTCATCCTCTTCCTCCTCTTCCTCATCCTCCGCCGCCTGCGCCTTCTCCCCGTCACCCTGCGAAACCTCATACTCCTCCTCCTCCTCCTCCTCCTCCTCCTCCTCCTCGACCCCCTGCTGCTCGTCTATTTCCTCGCCGAAAGATCGATGATACAAATGTGGCAGGATCCCATGCGGCCTCGGTTATCCAGAAACCTCGTGAGGAGGAGAAGGAAGAAGAACAAGAGGACGAGGAGGAGGAGGAGGAGGAGGAAGAGGAGGAGGTCGCGCACTTGGCCGCGGCATGCACTCAGCCTCTCCAGAGTGGCCGCGGCATGCATTCAGCCTCTCCCGTTTCTCGCCCGCTGCCTTGGCCTTGCACAGAAAACAAGCACCCGCACAATCAGAATCCTTCGGGCATCCGCACGGGATTCGGTTCGGTGAACACTGTTCTTTGTTCCACCTACGGTCGTAGCCCAAGAGGGCGGGTAACTGTAGACCCTGCGCAAGGTGGGGCACGTGGAGGCTGCGATCGCGATCGCCTGCGCGCGAACACCTGTCTGTGGTGGGGATCTCCCCCCCGCAAATACGCACGATCTTCTCAATCAGCCCGAGGAAAGGGGGGGGGGAGCGACCGCCCCGCACGGCGCGGACGACAGCGACGGCCGAGGGGCATTTTCGGTGAGTTGCCGCGGCGGCGCGCGGCCAGGCGGCCCCCGCGCGCAGCCCCGCGGGCGGCGCCCGCGCGCCCACCGCCCTCGCCGCCGCTTCGTTGAGCCGCCTGCGCGCGGCAGGGTCGCCGCCGCCGCCGCCGCCAGCGACCACCAGGCGACGGCCACGGGCAGCCGACGGCCACGCGACGGCCAGGCGACGGCAACGGCGAGGCAGACTCGAGGTTCGAGTTTCCAATGTTTGCTTGGCACGGTTGGCCATGTGGGGGCCCCCGTGAGGCCTCCCACAAGTCAGGGTGCGGAGAAGAAAACCGTTCATGAGCTCACGCAACAAAAGTTCCCCCCAGGCTTCAAAGAGTGGCCTGCAGGGGACATGTGGGCCCACGTCGGGTCCCCTTCGAGGGCTTTTGGGGCCTCCAGGAGGTCGACGTCGACGTCGTGGCGTTGGTGGTCCTCCCCCTCCTGCCCCCCATCATCAGTAACCCTCCCTCCTCATCATACACCTCCTCGTCACGAAATTTCAACAGAACGATGGCAATGATGACGGAACTCTGTTTTGCAATACGGAGCCGACGCTAAAACACAACGTCATGCCACACCGCCCGACGGTGGTTACATCTACCTAAACCAAATGTCACGGGTTGCACAATTACCTGTGGGGAAACATTAAAAGCATCCCCCCGACACCTGATGACCCACATGTGCGAATTTTGCGCGACGGTATTTAAACACACGTGCAACGAACAGAAAAGAGAGCAAACTCAACGTAACAAAAGCTGTGGGCAGTGACCTCGAGAAGACAAGGCTCGGACATAACTCAGACGGCACTGAGCGCGCACACGAAGGGTGAAAGACGCAAAGATTGCCCAGAGCGCATGCAGCATGGCAGCAAAAGGTGACTAAGGTTATGGCGGGATATCCACTCTAATTGTTGTGTCACACCTGCGAAATGCCATCGGCCTTGGCCTTCTGCATCATCCCGCGCTCATTCCCAGTGAGCTCCCTCATTGTCCGGAAACGCTCACCGTCCATCATGAATGTAGCATCATCCCGATGGCATATATCCTCGCCACTATCAGCTCATGCCCCCAGCGTGGCCTTGACGTCGTCATTGGGAAGCTGTTGCGTCGACCTGTACCTGATGAAAAATACACCTCCCGGCTGCCCTCCAGTTGGCGCAGTCGGGGTGGCGAAGGTCTGGCGCGACACACTCGCAGTGGAAGTGCCCGCACCTCTCGCCAAAGCCAACGCCCGAGCGAGACCCAAAAATCTGGCTAGTGCCCCACACGTGGTAGACCCTTGCTGGTAGCTGGACAACCGATGGACGCACCCGCCCATCTGATCGCGCGCCCCGACGTCAGCTCCACTAGAGGCACTGGAAATCGCGAGGCTGGCACATGGCTGCAGGAAGGTCGCGCGGGGCGACGATTCCATCCGCCGGGCGCCCCGATGACATTGCCGACGTCGTTGCAGGACATCGAAAGACCACCGCCCAACGTCATGAAAATCTGCGCGAGCTCTTTGATCAAGTATCGCACTACCCATGTTCTGGGCAGGATGCTGCCGCGGTCGGCCCACGTGGTGGAGTCGATGCGAATGTCCTTCACCCCAGCGATCGCAGCGTCACTGAGCCAACGCGCGCTTGACCGCGCGGTCATCATGTCGACACCGTGCCACCCCGCCGCTCCGGGGCACCATTCAAGCAAACACGCGCGTCAACGCTGACACCCCAATCCTCGCTGCGCCCGAGAAGCTGAGGCGACCCGCGCAGTTCTGGGCAACCCTTGCGAGCAACCCTGGATGACAGACACCAGCTGATGCCGCTCGCCGCGCCGCTCGCGCCGGCGAGCCGGCGCAGGCGGCCCCGCGAGATGGACCATTTCTGCCATCCGGCACACGTCAACAAGAAGAACCTCGAGTCATGATAGTTGCCGCAGACTCCACTGGAAATGGCGCTGCCCCGCGGGCCCCGCGGGGCACGCGTCGCGCGGGCACTCCACCCCGCGAAATTCTCGCGCCGCCACTCCCGCGCCCATCTGGCCCATTGAACCGCTCGCGGCGGCGTCTCCCTGAAGTTAGGGCCACGGCCAAGGTGCATCGCGAGATTGACGACGTCCTCAGATATGACGAGGTCGCCCGGCGCGGCCTGGCCGACGCCCGGGCAAGCGGCGTCGCCCGCGCGCGCGGGCGGGCACGACGACGGGGCTGAGCGGCCCACGCGGAGGCGGGGCGCCCGATGGCGGGGGCGTTTCTGGATGACCGCTGCCAGCCCCCCTGCCGTCGCCCACCCGCCCTTTGCCTCGCGCTCGCGCGCCGGCGACCTGCCCCCCCCCGTCGGCAGCTCGCCCAGATTACCGGCCTGCATTTTAGATCGGCACCCCTGCGCCGACTGGGCGAACGGTTGCCAGAGTCGCTCGAAGGTTCACGAAGGTCTGAGTAGCGCAGCTTTGGAAGCAAGCCACGTTCCCGGCTTCCCCTTAGTCGAACCTGGCGACCCCTCCTCGGTCGCGCCCGGCGCCCCCCCGCGGCCCTCGGCGACCGCGCCAACGCGACGCATCGCCTCGTCGAGGGCCTGGCTCACGCGCGCAATCGTTCCATCGCCACATCAGAGACGACTTGCCTCGCTAGCCCCCCCAGCGCACCGGCCGCCGATAGCGACGACGCTGCGCCCCATGCTAACCCCTTTTCGCAACTCCTCGCGGCCTCGGCCTTCAAGATCTTGCAGATTTCTTCTTCGGGCCCCTCGTCGAGGTCAGCCAGCGCGCGGCGGGGGGCCGCCGAACCGTCGTCGCGACCCGCCATTTCGGCAACGACCCCCTTCAGGTCGGCGAATCGATCATCGGAGCCGCTGGTATTCCGGGGCACGCCCGGTTTGATGACCGAGCTCATCTCGGCTGCGAACGCCACCCCCGGCGCGGCAGAGCACGATTTGAATTGCACGCGCGCGACCAATTCAACGCCATCCTTGAGGCCGCGCAAATCCCCCCACGCCTCAACGCCCCCTAATTCGGCGGTTCGCATGCACAGTAGGTCATCATCCCGCTCGTGGATACCACCCTTGCACAGGGCTCAGTCATCGCCGCGTTCGCAGCGCTCCCTCGCGTTATCCGGCGACGCCGCGCCGTGCTCCGCAATTGTCCTTTCCCCACTTACCTTTATGATTGCATCGCCTTCCTCGCTAGGACCCGGCGCAGCCCCGCCCATCGCCCCCGCTGTCGAAGTCGATCATTTGCGAGCCGCTCCCGTCGACGACTTGCAAAGGTCAGCTCTTCGGGCCTCCGTCGAAGCGATTCAATGAATGGGTTGCAGGCGATTCGCTCGCGGGCCTTTGATGCGCCTTGCTGCTGCCGGGCCGCTATGTCCCTGCTTCCTGGACGACGATCGCACGCGCTTTAATTTGCCCCTCGCTCATCATGTCCAATTCGGCCGAACGCTTTTCACCCTGCGTGAATTCCGCCTCGCGCACGTTCCCGCGATCGATGGCGCGCAGCAATGCCGCGTGGGACCCCCGAACACCCTCGACGGCGACGTCGCGCGCTCGCTGGGCAAGTCTCGAATGTCCGCGCGGTCTGGCTCTCCAAAACAGTCCACCATGGCAACGCGGCCAGCCTGCAGGCTGGCCCTGTCGGACCCCCGTTGCGCGAGGCAAGACAAACTTGGCAAGGTTGCACTCGATCTACGACTGTCGCGAGGCCAATATTGCGGCGCCGCTTCCGCCGCCGCGATCTCGCCCCACAGCCGCGCAAATTGAACAGCGCGGTGGCGATGCGCACGGACCCCCGCATCACAGCGAGAGGTCAACGACGAAGCACAAAAACACGTCGCACCGCGCGAAGGTTGCACAGCTACTGGCGGAGCGACATTGAAACACCCCCCCCCCCTCACTCTCCCCCCCCCCCCCACCTCCCCCGTTGCCCCTCGCATGCCGCCCCTCTTTTCCGGCTTCGCAATTCTCGCGCTCCTCGCGCTCACTTCCCGCCCCCCCTTTGCCCCACCGCCCCGCCTCTGTTCCCCCAGCGTGGCCCCCTGCCCCCCCCCCCCCACCCCCTGGCGCGTTTCGCCGTTCTCCTCCGCAGCGCCATCCCACCCCACTCGCCCCCCCCTCGCCCCCCTCGCCATCGACGTCGCCATCGTCGCGAACGTCAGGATCAGCACCGTCGCGCCATGTCTTGTTCGGCGGGGGCCAAACTCCCACCCGACTACAATGCCCCAGTAGAATCGCCATCGGTCTGCTGATCAGGCATCGAAGCAAACGCGGGGCGAATCAATGGCAATTGCAAGGCGCGCGTTCAGACTGGCGGGGCGCCGCGTTTAGTGAAAAAATACATCTCTCGTGGCCAAGGCGAAGGCAGCGCGCTCGGCTGTCGGCGCAGGCGCGCCGTCGGCACCGACGAAGACGCCCCTCGCAAACGAGAGCGCGCGGGATAGAGCACCAGCTTCGTCCACTCGCAGAGGAGACAGAGAAAACGCAGGCGCAGCCATGCCGCGGCCCCCCACGCCGCCGCCCGAGTGGAACTGGATCCCGCCACTGTCGCCGACGCGCGCAGCGCGGCATTCCCCCTGCTCAAATTTAAAGTCCCGCTAGAGACAAATTGAAAGATCACGACGCTAATCCGCGAGCTCGCCCTAACTGCGACGCCACCGCATGACCCGTGAAAGAGAATGTTGCCTCAGCCACAGGCGTGAGGAAGCAAACGTTGCACGATGAATGCTATTGGACTGGCTCTGTTCTCTGCGCTCGCGACTGCATTGCCACCGCGCGCTTCAGCCAAGATCTCGCTGTCCGAGACAGACTCCATCTGGCGCGCCCGACTCAAGATGCCGCCATCGCCAAGATGGCCCTGCGGGCAGGACGAGATCATCAACCGCACATGTCTCGGACAAACAACCTTCAGATACAATTGCCAGCGCCTTTGGTCGCGTTTTACCAACGCGTGGGTAAGGCATTTTGACATACACGCAGACACGCACGATTATACGTTTCCGAGATGAACGCTTCCAAATCGAACTGCCCACGAACGCACCTCCCCTAAGTCCCCCCCCCCCCGTCCCACCAACTGCAACAAGCCAGTCGCCATAGCAAGATTTGCAAACAGACCGCACCTGCAGCTGACAAACTCGCAACCGAGCACGGCAAGGAGTAGCCGCGGCAATCGCGCGCCAAACGTTAGCCCCTCCGCCCGCACAGTTCCTGCCACGCCGTTGCCTGCCAAGGCAGACTGAAGCACAGCAATGAGTAGCCGATGGTGTAGTCCGTGAAATTCCGCACGCTGGAAGGACATGCGAAAAATGCAGACCGTGCGTCTCGTGTACGCCATGGGGGCAACATCGGATTTCGAACAGATGCCAATCGCGATTCGCAATCGATTGAACTCCACTCGCCTGGACGTCCACAAGACTTCCTCGGTCAACTGCAACATCGCGACAGATGGTTGGCCGTGCCGTGGCCAACTGATAATATTGGCGTCGCACGGCGACACGGGACAATATGAATTTTTGGAAATAGCCATCGTGATACCACCAGACGCCAACCTGTGGAATGAAGCCCTCCTCGAAGACGCATCTGGCGTGATCACCGTGCCGAAAACTTCATCTCCTCTAGAACCGTCTAGGCTTAAGCTCGTTCCGCCGCAGGCCTTGCCGCCGCGCCGTCCTGATGCAGGGCTCGTCAGACGTTGCCCGTTCGGCATCAGCGGTGGGGGCCTCTCGGGTGGCCCTCATGGCGACACACGCCGAGGCTGGGCTCGCCACTGGCGGGCCGCGCGAGGCCGCGCGGCTCCTGCGGGCGGCAAAAGGTATCCTCCGCTCGGCCGTGGCGCTCCTCGCCGCGACGCCCCGCGCCGACGCGCCAGCGGACGCGGCGGGCCCCTCGACGGCCCCGCCGAGGCGCCGTCGCCCGCGCGGCCGCGGCGGCGTGGCAGGGCAGGGCGGGAACGACGAGGAGAGGCAGGTCGAGGCGGCGGAGGGAACAAGCGTCGCGGAGGCGATGGTTTTGGCGCTTCATGGTGCGGCGGCGGCAGAGGGGGCCAACGACGCCATCATGGAGATGCAGTCCGACGAGGGGGCGGACGACCCGTCGATTGCGCAGGGGCGGGCGCGCCCCGCGGTCGGCTGTGGCTCGGGCAAGGGCAAGGGCGAGGTCAAGGGCGGCGCAGGCAAGGACAAGTTCGGGGCGCGGAGTCTCCTCGTGCAGCGTACCGCCGGCACCGCCACTTGGACTTCTCGGCCCTCCGCAAGGGCGACCTGCACACCATGGCCGGACCCATGGGGGGGGGGGCTGGCTACGCGCGGCGGTCGTGCTGCTGTTCACGGCCGCGGAGGTCAGCGTCGGCGTTGATGCCGCCGCGGAGCTCATCGAGCTCTCCGTGGACAACTACGCGGGCCGGGGGTCCAGGCTCGGCCCCCCAGTGGTCGGGGGCTCTGGGCGGTCGGCCTCCCGCGTGGCGGCGGAGCCAAGCCCATGCCCCCCGCTGGCACGGTGCCCCCCGCCTCTCGGTGTTCGGATCTTCGGCGTTGTGGAGCTGCGACCAGGGCAACTCTCATCCCCTCTGCCTGCCTCCAGGCAGACTGCCATGGTGAGATGCACGGCCTCGAGCCTGCAAGAGATTCAGCGGCGGGTGACTGTAGAAACGTATGCTTGAAGTGTAAACCGCAAGTCGAGAGGGTAAACAACAGATCCTCCATCCAGCATCGCCGAAGCGCTCTCAATTTCATTCGCAAACAGAAAGATGGTTTGTCCGCCATCCTAGTGTGGAAGATGTGGACGTTCGAATCGGAAAGTTTGAAAGTCAACCCTTGCTCCGCCTACTCCTGGTGGACAGGCTCCAACACGAAATCCATGACCTCGTCGAACGGGAAGGTGCTGGATCGCCTTGCGGGAGACCCTGCACATAATCGAACCATTGTGAGCTTTCTGATTCTGGCAATGTCACCCTGGTATTCCTGTTGACGCACGCGCGCAAGAAGGCTAGGATGCAAGATTCGTCAGATCCCCTCTGAAAGAGGGCTTGCACGTGCAGGAGCTGGACTGCGCTTTCGTCAGCACACGTGACGTCAGCCTGGCAAACGACCAGCAGCAAGTCCCACTCATCAGCAAAATAAACACCCTTGAATACATCGCATGATACATCCATTGCAAATTTCCACGTCAATTTCTTGGTCGAGCTCCTCCCCATTCATCACCATCATCATGGTCAACCACACTATTATCATCATCATCATCATCATCATCATCATCATCATCATCATCATCACCACCACCATCATCATCATCATCATCATCATCACCCTTATCACCCTCAGAACCACCGTCATCTTCATCAGCATCACCACAATCGCCATCATGGCAACCATCACCACCATCATCATCACCATTGGCATCATGCTCGGCCGCTTAATCATGACTCCGCGGCACTATCATCATGAGAATCCCCTCCTCATCTTCCTCCTCCTCCTGCTCATCCTCCTCATCTCCTCCTCCTCGATGGCTTACTTGCAGTTCGGATGCCACCCACTAAACACGCCTACTATCAAATTCGTGAGAGAGTTGGATGCCCAAGTCGCGAGAAGGGCGCCGGGAAGCACAGCGAGGCGCACAGGACAAAAGGACGACTTCCTCCTCTTCCGTCTCCTCCTCCTCCTCCTCCTCCTGCTCCTCCTCCTCCCCCCCTTCCTCATCCTCCCCCTGATCATCAGCATCATCATCATCATCATCATCATCATCATCATCATCATCATCATCATCATCATCATCATCATCATCATCATCGTCATCGTCATCGTCATCGTCATCGTCATCGTCATCGTCATCGTCATCATCAGCATCAGCATCATCATCATCATCAGCATCAGCATCATCATCATCATCATCATCATCATCATCATCATCGTCATCGTCATCGTCATCGTCATCGTCAGCATCGTCATCAGCATCGTCATCAGCATCGTCATCAGCATCATCATACATAATCATCATCTGAATCAACATCAGCTTCGTCATCATCAGCAGCAACATCATCACCATCACAATCACCATCACCATCACTATCATCATCACCATCATCACCATCACCATCACTATCACCATCATCATCAGCAGCATCATCACCATCATCATCATCATCATCATCATCACCACTATCGCCATCACCATCACCATCATCATCATCATCATCATCATCATCATCATCATCATCATCATCATCATCATCATCGTCATCATCACAATCATCACGGTCCCTCGTTCTCGCGGCTGCCGCCGCGGCGCCTCGAGGCCACCCCCGACTCCCCCGCGCCGCGGTGCTTCGCGCGGAGCGACCCGGCGCACTACGCTGAGCCGCTTCAGCGCCCCTCTACGTGTCGTCGCTCAGACGTCGATTCCCCATTCGCCTGTTTGTTTTCCCGCAGGATCCAGGATACTCCCCAATGATTCCCGCCGAGGAAAAATGCACACGTCCGAGCGATGCCAAGTTTGAAGGGGACTCCACTAACGGGCACGTTGGCCAGGCAACGCCGCAGCGCCAGAAGAAAAGCCCCCAAAGCTGGGATCGTTCGGCACATTTCCAAAAACATACCCGTCGGTGAGCACCCGTTCCCGAGCCGCTGGCCCGCTGCGTTGCCCTCGCACGCCGGCGGAGGTAGGTTCCCCTGAAGGGGGGCAACGAAGGAGAGGCACCTTGCCATACACTGACGGGCGGTGGGAGAAAGTGATGGGGCAGAGCGGCGGGACCACTCCAAAAATGCTGCCGTAGAGGGGTTGGCGTCGGCGTTGCAGCTGGTCCGCAACGTGGTGCATACTCTCGTCTTGAAGGCTGGAGAACGTCATGTAGAATGGTTGTGCTGCGTGCTAGCGTTCGTGATCGGACCCAGAGACTGAAAAAAGGAAAGGCTGTAGTTGGGAGCGGGAACTTCCGCAAGTGAAGGGCCAATGGTTGTGGTAAACCGCTGGCTGGCGCAATCCTCGCGCGTAATGGCCTCCCCGGTGGGACTGAGCAGCTGAACGTAGCACTTTGCCCCACGAGTGATCATAGGCGGGCAGTGCAGCTTCTGCTGATTGGAAAGCTGGTGGCAACTGTGGTTGGTGTAACCCCACCAGCCCTTTAGGGCGTGAGTGTTTTACAGCGTTTCGTCGTCCACGTGGGCGCGCCAGCTGGCGCCAGCGAAGAACGCCCGCGCCGCTGCGGCCGCGCCCGGCCGCTGCGAGCCGCTCGCCGCGCGGCGCGGCGCGGGGTTGTCTGCCAGACCACGGCAGCGGCGCCACGACCGCGTCGTCCGTCTCCCAATCTGCCGTCGCCTGGGCCAGGGCGCTGTCCACCGCCTGCGGACGCGGGGGCCGCCCGGCCCGCGGCTCCCACGGATGGCCTGCAGGGCCTCGAGCTCTGCTGCTGCCAACATGGTCTGCAGCGCCGTGAACGCAGCCAGCCGGACAGCCCGCCCCTGCCGAAGGACTGCCGCGGGCAAGCGGGCGGTCGCGGCGGCGCCCGCCGGGCGATCGGCAGCCTCGTTCCCGAGCCGATCCTCCTCGGAGATGCCGCGCCGCGCCGCCGCCTCCTCGTCGAAACGCGCCTTTACCCAGCGCGCGGTGGCGAACCCATTATCAGGGCAACTCGTCTGGGCATCGTGGGCTGGTGGGATTACTTTTTTTGGTCAGCGGCCACGAGACAGCGGTCAGGTGGCGAAGGCAACGTCCAGGCCACGGGCGAAGCTAATTTGCTTAGACAGAAACGCGGCCGGCCACCTCAGGCGGCAGCGCTGGTGGGATTATTTTTTGGTTGGGCGTCTCGAAGGACAGATCCAGTGAGCGGGATGAGCGTCTGGGCCACAGAGCGAGATAATTGGCTGCAGAGGCACGTAGGCCGCTGTAGCGAATGCACATGCCAGGGACAAAGTGACCCTCATTGGGGACCGTCGCAGGCACCCCAGCGGATGGGGACGCAAGCGCGGCACCGGCGGCGGACGGATAGGAGCAGTCGCCCTCACGGCGCCAAGCTCCAGCCGAACCACACACCACGAAAAGGCGCGGAGCACGGACCGCACTGCAGCGGCACGGGGTGGCCAAGACGAGACCAAACTCCGGCCAAGACACACGGAAGGCGAGGTAGGAGGGAACAGGAGAGACGCAGCGGACGCCAGACGGGCACCCAGCGGCAGGAAAAAGGGGGAAAGGCACAGAGGGGGGCCTCACTCGCGGTGACTCACTGTCGCAGACGTCGGGTCTGCCGCTCTTGAACGCGAGAGCGAAAGATACCCAGTCAGCGAACCTGACGTCAATGCCGCCTGTGTCCACAGCGTGCAACTTATCCGACACGGAAGATCGGGGGCATAAAGTTGCAAGCGCTGACCGAGGCACCTGTACGAAGGACCAGCCGGGGGAACCGCGATGACCTGCCAAAGGATGAACCACTTGTGCAAGAACACGCCCACGCCAGGCCCGCCGTCGGGTAGTACCAGAAGCGGGTGGGATGCGCCAGTCTTCACCTTACGCGAAGCCAAGCCCCTGTAGCGCCCTGAGACGTACCGTGTGAATCAGGGCGACCCGCAGGCGGGGGTGGCCCTGCTAGCCGCTGTGGCGGTGACCAAGGGAAGGGGTTGAAACCACTCCCACGAGTCCTCACGACAGCGTGCTCAACTGGCGACCAGACGATGCACCACGTCATATCCGTCCAGAGGGTCTGGGGGAAATCACTGCTGTAGCGTCTGGCGCAGGCGCGCCCTGTGCGCCGCGATGAGCACCCAGCTGTCCGCTGGCACGGCTGGAGCGAGATTCTAGGCCAGTGTGTGACCCGCAGGGGTGGCTGAAACTGTCAGTCCCCCTGTCATGATGTCCCTTCACAGAGCTGGGGGCTAGCCAAGAGCCGCAGAGATTTGCGAGTGAACGTGGGGGGGTGCAACCAAGTGCCGTTGGCGCGACCACCGTGCCCAGGGCCTCCACGCTTGGACCGGACCGGGGCCCCGGCACATCCTCAACCAAGGCACACTTCGTTGGGGGCGCAGCCAAGAGCCGCAGAAACAGGTGAATGGGGAGCGGGGGAAGGAGGAGGAAGAGGAGGGGGAGCGAATCCAACCCGGCGCTGGGTGTCAGCCCAGTCGCCTTCGCGGGGCCGGATCGATCTCGCCATCAGGATGGGGGGGCGCAGCCGAGAGCCGCACGGACGTGTCGGAGAGGGGCGCAGCCAAGAGCCGCAGAGACCTTGAATGGTGAGATGCAGGGGGGAAGCCAGCGGCCGCTGGACACGGTAGGCGACCCCCACCTGCTGTCGTAGCGCTGGAGGTGGGTTGTTTCAGCCACCAGTCCCTGTCGTCCAAAGTGGGTGCCCCTGAGGGGCGGCACTGACGGCCCCATGCCCCGTGGGGTGGCCAGGTCTATGGGCCGGCGGTGCGGCAGTAGGTTACCCAGCCGTTGCCGACCTCGGTGCCAGAAGGGGTGGGGCGCAGGGGGTGGGCTACTTTAGCCACCGGGCACTCCGTCAAGGGTGGATCCACGAGACCAGCGTGGGCTGTCTAATTCGCGGCGCATGGGTATTGGTGCACCTCCCACCCGAAGGAGGTAGCACAAGGCATTGTGGCCGAAGCCGGGCGCTGCGGTGAAACTTGCCCATGCCGTTCCCAGGAGCATCCATATGGACAACTTCGACCATGGGGTTTTCGGACACTGCCCGGCGGCCTCAGTCCACGAGCTCAAAATCGCTGTTCGATGCACAGGGCCGGTTGGGGACCATGGGGCTGCCAACCCAGCGAGCTCCACCGGGCACAGCGGGGCCACAGATGGCCCACGGGGTCAGCGCAATGGAAACCACCTTGTACAAGGAGGTGGAGGCTGCGCCCAGCTGACCCAGATCATTGTTGTCCAGGAAGCACGCATTGCGATCCATGACGGGCCGCGTGGCGACCCTGAGAACTGACATGGCCCAGAGCACCAGTGATAGACTCGATCCGCAGAATGGCTGCGCGCACGACCCCCATCAGAGAGGACGGGTGAAGGCGGAAGGGGGGGAGAAGAAGCGAGGTGGAGGGGCGACCGAACGCGAGCACGCGAGAGAAGGCCGCGTCGGCGAGAGCTGCGGCGCCCCCGACGCCTGGGGGGGGGTGTCCGCGAACTGAGCAGGCCCACTTGTGCCCCGATCACTTGGGTCGGAAGTCCCACCCCCGCGGGCGCTTGTCT